AACAGCTGTTATCCGCTCGCTAAACTCGGCAACTTTGCTTTCCAAGGAATAATTAGAAGCCGGCAGTGTCAGGGATCGGGAGCCGCCAACAGCTTGTTTAGTTAAACAACCTGTGAAAGAGGAAACCGTCAACAACATATGACAACCTTTGGTGATTGCTTTTGGCATTTTCTACCACTCAAGCTACTTCTTCAGTGCCTGCGCTTCTCACTGGGGAGAGAGTTTCTTGAATTTTGACTTAGGAGGAAGCTGGTGGAGGTTTAAGCTTTGTGTAATGCATTATTACGAGTACTTTTGTGACCTGTGTTCTCTCTTTTTTTTTGTGCGAGATGCGCGGCATATATGTATGTGTTCTGTTTGCTGAATGAATAAATGTAATGTAAAGGTACAGAAAGCAAACAATTCAACGGAATATGGAGGAACTGGATTTTCCTGCTGGCGAAATTGAGCCATCGATTTCAGTTTGAGAGTAACGCCAAAATTAAAATGTATTAATAAATAGCCAATTTTGCTGAAAAATAGCTGAATTACTATTAAAAAGTGTGCTGTGAGATCGCGTACCAGAAAGCAGTGGTGAGCAATTTTGTAAGTCGTAACAGGAAGATGGACAAAAGATTGAGTTTTGTTGGCGCTGCACTGGGTGAAAATAAATAAAATTGCGACGGCGAGCACTGTGCTTGATTGTCACGTCGAACTGTTCTGAAAATTTTACACTTCGCAAAACATCCAAAATAATATTACTCATTTAATTGTTGGCATTATTAGGCCTTAGCATAGCTTCCCAGTTGAAGTTTACGAGCTCTGCACTTCTAGGTACTGAGCCGAGTTTTCCACTGCCGTTTGCAAACGCTGCGCTTTAGCAAGGCAATGATCCAAACATTTCAATTCAGGGGCTCCTTTTTCTATTTATTGTATTCATTATTGTATTCACCACTATTTATTGCTGCAATTCGTTAGGCTAATCATCGTAATTTGACTAATGAGACTAGTTATTATAAATTATCATAATCTAGTAAACATTAGTGGTTTGAGAAATCCAAAAACGTTTTACTGCAAAAAAAGTTATCGTTTTTTTGTTTATGGATATCAAGCTCACTTCTGAATGACTGATTTCCTGATCAGATAATTGAACAGTAATGGATCGGCTGTTGAGAGATGTTGCTGGGCATTTGCGCCGGCTACAATGAAGCCATCCGACGAAATCAGCTCACAGTCTTTCGATATCTATAACATTCCCGCTTAATTCAGCTCGGTGAAAATTCTATTTGTGGAAGCTTTTTGCAGATGAAGCATCCAGTAGCCTATATCGAAAAACAAGTGTGGTTAATCGTTTTTTTTTACAATAAATTGCTGCGGCCTTCAGCAAAAGAATACGCCAACATATATAAAAGCAACAGAATGCGTCGAACATTTTTTCGATTTCAGTGCGTGAAACCAAAAACACCGGTGCAAAAGATTTCACTGTTCTCAAAGTACAAAGCACTTGGACGCCCGGCCGCAGGTCAAGAGGCAGTGAGGCTAGAAAGACAAAATGGACTGGACTAGACAGAAAAGGGAGTCATGAGGTGAAACAATAAGGCTTGGATTTTAGGTCTTCATGCCGCCTACGTAGTGTGTGCAGACGCGAAAATTTAAGCCATCTAATTTATTCCGCTCTGAAAATTTAAAAAAAAAAAAAGCTCCTAAAACTGGACCTGATGCGGTTGGTCAGAGCTGATGAATTTCAAGGGCTGATTCCAGAAAAGTTTCAAAATCCAGCACTCACTAAATCACGGATTAAGGCTCGTAGCACTGCACATTTTTGAATCACAAGGTTAACTGAGAGCTAAATCTTGAACACTATC